GATGACACCTAAAAAAAACTTTTTTTTCCACTCACCCCCCAACCGGTCACGGCAGATGTCCGCCCCTCACTGAGCCTGGTTCTGCCGGAGGTTTCTTCCTGTTGAAAGGGAGTTTTTCCTTCCCACTGTCGCCAAGTGCTTGCTCATTAGGGGATCATATGATTGTTGGGGCTTTTTTTTTTGGTTTTTTTTAATTTATTTATTTAATTTGACAGCATGTAAAATAAATTCAAAATGAACTGAGATGAACTGTTCCTGCTTGATATTTTAAGCTAAAGCGAATTGAGCATTTGCTGTTATGGCTTCCTAATGTACCTCTGTGTCTTTTAATTTTTACATTTCTGTAAGTTCAATAATAGACTTCATTATGTCCTTGATGTTCGTGACTCACTTCCATTTTAATCATTTATCTTTTAAATCACAAAGTCACACTTTGTTCAAATGCACTGTGTTAATGTATTCTTTACTGCCATATGAGATGAAAAGAGAGATGTTTCTATGTTGGTATATTTTAACTGACAGACTGTTTTAGTTTACACTTGACAAGTACTGCTTGCCTTGCTTTCCCCTGACAGAAAGTCACTTTATTTCTACCTGACGTAATTTATATTTTTGCATATTTGGTTTTGTTGAAAGTGGAGCTGGACATTGATGACAGAAGCACCGGCAGAGTCCATTCACTCATCCAGAAGTGGTCCACTAATGGATGAGTGCCACTTGATAAATGTGTTTCTAAATAAATTGACTTGACTTTCTAATTTGAATTAGTCACAATAAACAACAACAAAAAAAGTAGATAATGTATCTTTTAATAAGAAACTAAGCCAGTGGAAAATAGTTTAGCTGTGAAGTGCGAGCTGTTTCAGCTGTGGACAGTCTGTGAAGTAGAAATATGAAGTACAGCACACACTCACACATGAAAGAGAATAGCTTTTGCACATTTCTACTGTTCATTCAAAATTAAAATGCATTAAAACAGGTTTTGGCATCTTCTGAAGATGAAATGGTGGATGATCGCAGGATCCTTTACCTGATAAAGAAAAGCCCTTCCTTTCACAGCATCCAGCCTAGTGCATGACATTTATCATTGATCATCACCAGTCAGTGTCAAGAACAGGAATACCAGATTAAAACTATGGCAAAGAAAAACAAGCAAAGCAGCTCAGTAACAGTCATTTATTGGACAAACGATGCAAAAAATTAGCCCGTACCAAAATGCTGGGAAATTAAATGGATTCAAAGAATTTATTAAGGTTCCTAATCAAAAACAGAAAAGTTCACCCCAAAAATCCCAGACAGTGGTAAAGTCCAATGACTGAATGTATTTTTAATATTAGTTAGCAATATTACATTCACTTTATCACATCACTTTTAAAATTTAGACTGTAAGACATTTCTGTGAACTTGGCATGAAAACAGTTCATTATTTGAAGTTCTTTTTTCTCTTGTTCTTATTACACCTCATTTTTTCATGTTTTGATTTGAGGTGTTTTGGTCCATATCCAAAGAGCTGATTCAACAGTGGTTTCTGCATAGACTCACTATTGTTGGTGAGCTCAAGACCAGCTCAAATGCTGCATACCACAGTCCATCCACAGTCGCTCTCAGAATGCTGCACCTCCTGGTTATCTTGGCAAACCCTCGATGCCTGTTAACAGTGGGCTGCTGTGTATCACTGCACTATCAATGGCTTTCCAAAGCAGTGCATTACACTGTTCACTTTTAATATTATTGGTGAAGTTAAGGTGCTTTTTCGTTCTTCTTTTTTTTATATATTTGAACTTTAACTTCTGAATATTTCTCTTCTCATTTCCTAAACATAGTTTTCCGAAACATGTAATAACAAAGAAATTCTGTTTTGATAAGATCTGCTCCCACAAACTGACATGGAGTCGTCGTTGCTGTCACACCTTTTAATCGCCGTCTACCTCAGGCAATTTATATTTCTGTATGTGTTCTCTGAGCTAACAGTATTCTTTTACAAGAAGAATTGTGTTGCTGGTGTTTCTGCATCTTAAGGAAGCCTACATTTTTATACAGGTGATAAACCTTCTACTTGGTCCTGTCTGTCTTATTCAAGAAGTAAGATCATAAATTTGCTGCATGAGGAAATTTACAGAAGAACATGTCACTTCTTGTTTGCTTCAAACAATGCATGCACAATTATCAACACGGTGAATGTGTTTTGTGGGTGGGAGTGGTAGATGCAGCGCTTTTAAGCATTGCATTCATGTTTTATTGTATGTCTCTGGTATGCATTTTATATTTTATAGATCGTTTAATATTGCGTGCACCTGCCTAAGGGCAGCAACTGGGAAGCTAGCAGCAAAATCTAGTAAAAGGCATCTTTTTCTCACATGGAATCAGTGTTGTTATACAAGATCCCTGACAATTAAAAACTTAAAGTTGTCTAAAAGGTGTCATACACGTCAACATTTTTTAGTTGTTGAAACAGTTTTAACTTATTTTAGCTGCAGTTCTGTCTGGCTGGTTTCACTTGGGCTGCATCTGCATATCAGCACGTTTTTAACCACAGTGTTCTTGTGAAGATCACATGGACCGTGTCACTTATCCCACAAAACTTTAAAGTCAAAATTTACAAAAAAACAACACAAACAAAAAAACAGAAACTGAGAATAGCTTTCCATTGGCTTCACCCAGCAGAGTTAGTCATTTTGGTCTTCATTGGTTCGTTTTTTAGCATGTGCTAGTTTCCATCATATTCCACAGACAACGGCAAAAGGTTCTGTCTTTATGGTGACAGATTTCCCTTACTGAGGATAATATAAGCAGGAAAATACAGTGATATGTTAACTGCACTTCACCCATGGTAGTAGGCTTTGATAAAACCCAGACTGTCCTGGAGTGCTGGCTTCTGTAAACCACCATGAATCAAGCAGTGCCATCTACTTCTGCTCAGCTCCTTGTGAAATTCCTTTGTTTTATGCAGTGTTCACTAATATATTTGGCAATGATGACTACCTCTCGGGTGTCCAGTCATGACTTCGCTCTCGGATGTCTCACCATAGCGGGATCTGTGATTAATGTGATTAACAATCGTGTGACTCTGAACTTCAGCGCTAAAGTTGTAATCACCTCTATAAAAGATGAATTCAGCCACCAAAAACAACAGATTAGGTGCTTTTTAGAGCTGCAGGTTAAAGTTAAATGTCATGCTGCAATGTACGTCACTCCCTTCCCTTATCCTTTCATGTTGAACATCTCTTCCTCTTTTTTGTTCTGGTCACATGACAGTTTGTTGCTTCACCTTTTTCGTACATAACTCAGACTTTAACAGAAATGAGAATGATTTTTATTCTAAAGTTATTGTATTGTTATTCTAATTAAAAACAGCAATTTGCTACGATCTAATAATAATAACAAGGTTGTTGTGTTTAAGTGAGACTGTCCTTTTGTAAGAAACAGGTTTCATAAAATCCTTACGCAGCCTTTGTGACTAATGTTCGCTGCTGATGTATTGGCCCTGTTTCCTGGTCCGAGGCTCTCCTTTTGTTTAACGTGTCGCAGTTCTTTGTCTTTTCCGTTTTCAACAAATGCGAGTCCCCAAAATCTATTCAGTCATAAATCTCAGCCTCTCCACCAAATATTTGAGAAAAAAATCAGTCTCGGTCTGACTAACATTTCAGTGTGGACATGAAAAGCGGGGTCGGGATGTTTATAAAGAGTAAAAGAAACCACACTGCACATCATTCATTTCTAACCTTGTGCTGTGGGTGGATCCTCTCACACTCTCTCTTGGCTGAAGTTTGGTGAGTTTGGGTCTATTTTGCTTGATCCGGCCCAGCAGCCAGACCCTGAACTTAAACGGGTAACAAACAGATGAGCAGCCTCCGTTTCACCTGTTCATGTTTCTAAAGTCTCTGTGGTGATTGCTCTGAAGTGTCTTTGTGCTGGTTTTCATATTTGCTTTCCAATCATACCTTGTTACTTCTTACTAATCTTACTAAGAGTAAGATTATATGAGAAGAATAGGGGTTTGTCTTGGTGTGTGGTGCTGTAGCCTATAGATTTATGTCATTAACTGGTAAACATGAGGAATCAGAATCACTAAATTCTTATCAGTTACCATCCTTACCTGTGTCGTTATCCACCTGTCGGTCAAAGAGGCACGCCTCTAACATTAAACACTAATAATGTTTTAAAAAAGGTTGTTTTTTTTAATTAACTCTATACAGTTGCTATGGAGTCTATGGGCCCTGATTCCCTGCTGAAGCCTCCAGTGGCCATCAGAGGAACTGCAGCTTTTTAACTTCCTCATTAGCTTCATGTTGGACCCCTGCAGGGGCGGATCTAGAGAAATGTTCTTAGAGTGGCATGAGGGTGGCATGGAAATCAAATAGGATGGCAAAATCAAAGCCTTTTTGTTTGTTTTCCACCTGGAGACGTTTGCCTACATTGCAATCTGCCTTTGTGAAATTCATTAGTACCCTCACTTACACACAAAAAACAACAACGACACAACACACTAACTATACAAGATAACACTTCACGCTAAACGTTGCAAATCTCTCCCATCTCAAAACTCTCTCACTCGTTTACTCTGTCGTGCTGCCATCACTCCCATAACTTCCCCCTCTTATATTCAGTGTTAACTGTAGCTAGGCTCAAGTTGTTAATGCTAGCTTATTTTAATAGACAACTAGGGTGGCAAGAGATCATTGTAGCGTGGCACATGCCACCCGACGCCACCCTTCTAGATCCGACCCTGGAGGTTTCCTGACAGTACAGGTCATATTTTTCCCAGAGTCAGGTTGATGCCATGACCGCAACGTAGACTGACTGAAAGTCGTCTGCAGCAGCCGTTGGTCGCGCTCTCCGTGTGCTGTTTAGCCTTCCTACCTCTAACTGCCGCTCTCTGTTTGGCTGTTTTGCATAGAGCAGGGGCAGGTTGTGATTTGCTAGCCTCAGCCCTCCTCTCCGGGGCTGGACTTGTTCACAGAGTTTGCAGGCGGAGTCACTGGTTTCCCCTCTGAGATAAATAGTGCGCGGTACAAGTGGGAGCGACTCGCAATCGACTGTCCTTTTCTGTTTCCTGCGAGGGACAGTCGACAGTCTCAGCCTGAGAACTGAGACGCAGCAGAGCCGTTAAAGCAGAAAAAAAGCGACACGGGGGGGAGTTACCATGTCTGGAAATAAAGACAGCGACGGAGGATGGAAGAAATTTGTGTGGAATTCGGAAAAGAAGGAGTTTCTAGGGCGCACGGGAGGCAGCTGGTGTGAGTACTCTTTTTGTTCTTTATCTCCGGCAGGCGGGCTGCTGGTTGTTGATGGAGCAGTTGGGCTGGAGCAGAGTGGAAGCCGACCGTGCTCACAGCGGATTATTTGTATTTTGACTCAATGTTTTGCCGGTGCAGACGTTCGCACCTGTTAGAGCTCCCACCCGGAGGCGCGCCGAGTCGTGACTTTGCCTTTTTAACGGAGGCTGCGTGCGCAAGTTGGTGTTTAAGACGAGAATGAAGTGAAAAAAGGTGAAACACGAAGGAGTGCTCGGTACGGATCGATTGGAGTCCAAAACAAGGACAGTAAATGAGGACAATAAGCCAATTTGGTCTCCGTGGACGTAAATGATTTCCTCCTTTTGGGGTGTTTCTGTGCATTTTTCAGGGCTCCCGCGGTCATATGTGTTCATTACGAAGGCGTAGCCCTGATCAGCTCATTGATTAGCGGCAGTCTTTTCTGAAAAGGTCATCTTGAAGGACAGCCGAGACTTTTACCTGAACCAACAAGTTGGTGGCTGCCGCCGTTTATTTTGTTATTCTGAGTGTCAGCCCTCCGCGGGGAGCAGGAGAAGGGCTGAGGACATTTTATTCCTGCCTTTAATAAACCCGAGCAGCTGATCCTTGGACCCGACACCCGGGCCCAGCTCTGCCTTCCCCACGTTTTAACTCGAACCCGGGATTATTGGATCCGGCTCTAATCGTTTCAGCGCCGTTTTCAATACTTTAAGACGCCTACCGCGGTCCGCAGCGGGTGATGGTTTGATGGGATCACTGCCCTGCATTACATAGCGCCAATTAGGCTCGTTAAACCGTTTTGCACGTCAGATATGGCGTGTATGTGCACGTCTCCCCCTCCTCTCCGGACGCCGCACGGTAACACGGTGATCACGACTCACATGTCTCCCGGGCCGCCCCTCTCTGTATTTTTATCCTGGAAGAAATGAGGCGTCGCTGTGTGCGCGCGTTAAAGCGCATTCTTCGGGGCTTAATGAAAGCTTCAAACTAACACGTTTATTTGTGAGAAACGGTAATTCTCTGTGGCTCAAAGCACGGCTGTGTGTGGCGATTAAAATCAGGAGCTGCTCTCGGGTGGAACATTTCACCCACTCCATGTTCTAGGTGGTGGTGTGGGGTTACCAGGCTGGTAGTTCAGTGTCCCGTGGAGCACACGCAGTGAGCCATGTTGCTTTAGCAGCAACAGGTATGTCTGCTCAAAGCATCTCAGGCCACAGCGCTGATCACACAGACTTTTTTTGAGGCTCAGAAAAAGCCTCTGAGTGTGATCCAGTCTGTATCTCCTAACTTGACACAAGCCTCTGTGGTTGTCTTATTTTTGGCCATTTCATAACCACTGATTTATTTTAGTTTGGGTTAATTAAATGGCACATAAATATTCTTACGCTTCAAAGTCTTCTTTCATTTCAAGACTGTAAAGAAAAAAGCCCTGATTGGATTTTTTTTTTTTTTTTGGAGGTGACTACAAACATATCCGGATCATGAACACAGCACCGTCATCTGCTCAGTGTTTTCATGGTGGATGACGGTCAGATTTTTCCATAAAGGACTTTTTTTCTGGTTTGAAATGGGCCTTTTGGGGTGGAGGGGTGTCAATTAACGTCACTTAACAGAAGTCTGCTTTTTCCTGTTACTTTTTCCGCCATTTTGTCCCAGTTTTAATAAACAAAAGTATCTGAGCTTGACTAAATAAAATGACAGATGATGATTTTAAGCCTTCTTGTTTTGTTTCCCCCCCAAAATCATCCTCATAGCTTCAGTGAAAGCCCAAAAACATGTTTGACTGGACCAGGGATTTGTTTTTTAAACAAATAGCTGGGTTTAATTTAATCAAAGTTCAAATACAGTTTCATCAACTGGCACAAAGGCATTCAAATACAGATAACACAGATTGGTACCTCTGGGTGCCTTTACCTGCAGCATCATGTGCTGGTAGATTTATAATTTAAAATCTGCAAAACTTTAAAACATACAGTGTGTAGTACAGAGTAAATCATTAGCACATTAAACGGTGTTTCAGTAAAACACTCGTGCTAATTGTGTGCCATGTGAGTCGCTTGCACTTTTCAGAAAGACAGACAGGAAGTGGCGCGGTGACAGCGTCAGTCTTGGCGCTCGTTACGTCTCCTCCACGTGTTTGTCTCGACATGCCAGACGGAAAGTAGGCTGCGGGGCTGGTGAAGGCCTCTGCGAGTGTGGAGACACATGTGGTATGAATGCGGGGACAGTCCCTTCGCTGCGTGCTGCAGCAGCCTGCTGGGGGAGGTGCTCTCAATTCAGAAGCTGCCTTTCACCACCCCCTACAGCTCGCTCCATGCTGCTTTACTCTGAGCCCTGGAGCGTTTCAGGCCGCTCCGATCGCTCAGGTGAAATCACACAAACTGACAGCCAGACAACAGGCTGTACACATACTCAGCCACGACATTAAAACTACTAACGGCGCGAACAGCCGCCCTCACGACGAAAGCTTCTGAGGAATCTCCTGGCAATCCAATGGGTCTTTACTTTGACACAGACCATCAAAGCCCTCCTAGTGGTGCCACTTGGCAGCCATTTTGAAGCATGATCTAAAATGAGCTGAGTTTCAGAGGCGTAGAATCTCCAGTCAGCTCTGAAAACTGCCCCAAAAGTTTGAATTTGCCCCAGAGAGAGGTTTTTAAAAGCTCTTTTCTCCTAATGAAGTTTTACTTCCACCACTATATTTCTTTCAACATCTGTGGTGCCTTCAAACATCTCCCTCCCCCATGATAAGGTGACTGCTCCAAGCAAAGCAAGCACACCGTGAAATTGGCCTGACCTCAAGACCCCCCCCCCCCCAAATGTTGTTCTGATAAAGCCAAAAAAAGTCTGCTGCCAGTCACCATTGCAGCGCACACACAGAGGGTACAAAGTTTCAGGCAGGTGGTTCTAATGTTGTGGCTGATCCTGTTCTGATTTCAACAGGCCAAGACGGGTAAAGAACACCCGATTGGATAGTCCTTCCCGGCGCATGCCACACCTGTTTGACTTCTTTTCACTTGCGCGCGCACACACGAGGAATAAGCCGTTATTTGTTTTGCAAATTCACCTCCCCTGCACAGCAGGCGGTTATTGCAGCATATTTTTCCGAGATGGCGCACTCCTAGGAGTTCACAGAACTGTCAGAAACCCGCGACTATTGTCAGGCACTGCTTCATAGGACACTAGCAGCCACTGCTTGGGGCCTGACTAGACTCATCCCAGAGTCTAATCATGCTCTGTATTGAGGGGGATTTGAGGGGAAAAACCAAACAAATTCTGCTTGCGTCTTTGCTATCACAGGCAGCTAGCCAAGTGGCCTTTGAAGGCCTTAAAGTGAACCTGCTTTCAGGCTCGCTGAGCTCTTTTCTTCTTGATAGAAAATCAAAATCAGCATTTTTAACCTGCCACAGATCATAATTGGGTGTCCGGGGGCTTTTCGGAGGTGGCTACGCCCTTAAGCACAATTGTTGAGCATAGAGTTGGAAAGAGTCTTTGTTACCTTAGTTAACAGAGGTTTAAGCATTCCCCACCCCCACTGTTTTGGTCATCTGAACAAAAACCTTTTAAAGCTTGCTGAAATTAAACCACACTTACAATTTACAAGTTTGTTTGATCTCAAAACTTATTTTCCTCTGGAACACCAAAAATCTGATGGGGGGGAAAATCATGAAATATGATGCTGAGGGTTTGATTGCATCATACAGGGAAGCATGTGCCGTTAGTTTTGTTCACTCGTGTAATGAAGCGTTTGCCTTAATTCATCACGTTTCTATGCACAGGAGCATGAATAAGGGCCTTTTTCTTTTTTTTTTCTTTTAATCCTAATCGTTGAAGGTGACGCAGCCGGGTGGGGGGGTCTGCAGGACTGAACAGTGACTCATCCTGTTGCTCTGGAAGCACAGCCATCCCACCTTCTGCGTGATCTGTTTAAGCTTTAAATTGGGTGAAAAGAACCTGGGAAAGGGGTTTATGAAGGATATGTTGCTGTTGGGAAGAGTACATTTTCCTGGGTTTTGGGTAGCTGATGTTAGGCATGCTCTAATAAAGCAGTCCGTCTTATCACCTTCAGGTGCTTGTGACTTCTGAAATCTGAGGCGATGTTATATTTCACATTTGAAGCAGTTTCTTTCTTGCGTCTTTCATCTCAGTAATTTGATTTCTTTTCCTTCCTCTACAGTTAAAATCCTCTTGTTCTATCTGATTTTCTACGGATGCTTGGCTGGAATTTTCGTTGGGACCATTCAGGCATTGCTGCTAACGTTAAGCAAAGACAAACCCACCTATCAGGACAGAGTTGCTCCCCCAGGTAAGCACATCCTCTTCCTCCTCACCTTTCTGACTTTGCTGCTGCATCAGCTCAGCGACCAGACAAAAAGCCTGTTGGTGTTTCGTGGGCGTTACAGACGACTGTTTGGGAGGGGTGTGCCTCTGAGCAGCTCCTCTATCGGCAGTCTTTCTGACCTTAAATAGGTTCGGCCATTTTGTCCTTCACTCCCCTCAGCTGGTCGATGTTCCCCCCGCGGGCAACAGGGGAACTAAAACGTGTGCTATGATTATGCATCACAGCTGACACGACTGCATGTACATGCGTGACTACAGTTTGCGGCTTGTTTCTTCAAAGGAAGAGAAAAAGTTTTGTTTTTCCACCACAGCTTTTAAAGGCTTGAAGGGGGGGGAAACCTAATGTGTAATCTCGTGAGAGTGTCATCAGACAACGCTGCAGCAGTTTAAAAAATTTCCTGTGCGCTCTGAGACTGATTTGAGTGCCAAGCCTCATCTTGCGGTTTGCACAGCACATGCTCTGCCCCTTAGCAGTATTTTTAGCAGCCATTCTAGATGACGGGCTGCATGTGGCTGCCGTTTTGTTCACGACTGTTGACAATCAGAGATTAGAGTGAGCAGAACAACAGCGTGAGCGTGGAGAGCTCTGAGCTGAAGCAAGTTTCCAGAAGTGGCACGATCAAGGAAGCAGCGAGAAAGGTTCTCTTTTTTTTTTTTTCTCTCTCTCTCCTTTCGGAGCGTGATCCCGCCTCCCACTCAGAGGCTAAAAGTTTCCATTGTGAGAGAAACACACGTGAGAGTGGATGGGTGGGGGTTGGTGAACTTTCACAAGCCTCCTCTGACACTCAAACTGCTGCTTCTCCTCTCGCCGTCTCAACCGGCAGCTCGAGTCCCGCTCATATCTGCGGCAGCAAATAAAACAGGTCCTGCGGCGAGGCCGAGAAGGGTTTCGCGGCTGTCATGTTGCCTCTAGCTACTCTCACTGTCACACTCTCCCCTCGCCACGCCTCGCGCACCAACTCTGTGGAAAATTACTGCTGTGAGGAGCTCTCAGAGGAAATCCCCAAGACCCTCACATTGTCCTTAGATAATGGAGAATGCTCACAATGGCTCACATGTCATGTTGCTTCTAAGATATTTACACTTTTTTTTTTTTTCACACTGTTTTTTGTTTTTTTTTTTCTTTTTAATAAGATGTTTTTATTTTTTGTCCCATGACTTTTGTTTTCCTACCAAACCAGTTGTGGTGTTTTTGCAGGTCTGTCACACACCCCACGCTCAGACAAATCTGAAATTTCTTTTAAGAAGAGTGATCCGAGTTCATACAGCAAGTATGTCCAAAGCATGAACGAATTCCTTGAGATGTACAATGAGACAAAGCAGAATCGGGACTTCTACGAGGAATGTGGAAGCAAGTATCATACAATGCAATCAGCTTTCACCATTTGTCACTCATGAGTGGATGTTTGAAGATCTAAACTTAAATTTTGTTTTCTTACTTGTGGCATTTTCAGCGCTTCCTGACACGTACAAAGATCGAAGTATGGAAGAAAAGAAGAAAGTCTGCAAGTTTTCTAGGTCTTTGCTGAAAAACTGCTCAGGCACAGACCCTGATTATGGCTTCATGGAGGGGAACCCATGTGTTATCATAAAGCTCAACAGAATTGTGAACTTCCGACCAAAGGTATAGTTACCGCTTAAATTCAAAGGCTAATATTAAGTAGCACAAAATGGCACCAGTCCTTTTAATGAGCTTAGGCTCACCTCAGACATTCATTTAACCTGCAGGCATGAAGTAAACTGTAGTCCTGGACTGTGCTGCTCTGTATTTATATACCTGAATATAAGTATAATAATAGCACAGCCATCCTGGAGGTAATATGCTGTGTAGCTAAGTTAGAGCTAGCTGGCTAACATCCCCCATTTTGGCTGTAAACTTGTAAAGCTTTACTTACATCTTAAGGCCACAAAGCAATCTGTACTCAATCATCTGGCTACCTTAGTGGACTGTTTCTGAGCGAACAATCGTAGCACTATAGAGCTAGCAGAACTGCCTTTTCAAGGAAAAAAAGATGTTGTAAATGACAATGGAAAAACATCTCATTCCCATCTACTCGTAGTCTCACTGCCTCTCAAATGACTAAAACAAGTGAGATGTGCCTGCAGTGAGCTCTTGCTCACAGAGTAGAGTTGGCAATCATTTGTCTCAAAGGTCAGATGTGTGGTGTCAGGGGAGCTAAGGGGTCAGCGCAAACAGAAAACCCAAATCCACAAACAGAAAAGCGAATACCCCCCCCCCCCCAAAAAAAAAAAAAATATTACAGGGAGTGCATTTCTGTAAAGGGAAAACCAACTTGCAAAACCTTACAGACATGTGAACTCTCCATGAAGCTTTTTCCGTTATGTTTGAAAATGGAAAAAACTTCTGAGGAGCTGGAGCTTGAAGTTGCATTGTGGTTAATGTAGGCACCAATAAGTGAAAGTTTAATTTAAACCAGTTATTGCTTGTTTGTTCTTTCTTTAGGCTCCTTCAAACAACTTATCACTAGAACTGCCGGTAAAAGTTAGCCCTAACGAGATCCCCATTTACTGCAAGCCTAAGGTACGTTTGCAAGAGCGTGCGGCTGTGGCCTTCCAGTGCACAGATACAGAGAGAATGAATATTTGTCTTCAAAAGGACCGGCTGCAAGTCTCACTCGAGTATTGTGTTTGCAGAGAGCTGAGGATGAAGGCCAGATCGGAGAGATAAAGTACTATGGGATAGGCCAAGGCTTTCCTCTGCAGTACTACCCATATTACGGCAAACAGCTGCACCCCGACTACCTGCAGCCCTTGATGGCCGTTCAGTTCGTCAATGTGACGGAGGGAAAGGAGATCCGCATCGAGTGCAAAGCATTCGGAGACAACATCGATTACAGCGAGAAGGACCGCTACCAGGGACGCTTTGACATAAAGCTCACCGTGTCGTGACCTGAGCTACAGCGAGCACTCAATTTGAAAACGAATACAACTTAGAGAAAACCGTTCAGATAAAAACCACCACTAGTCTTTGAACATTCATAATATACAGGACCTACACTTAATCCGTGTGCTTTACACTAGCTTTTCTGTGTGTTCGTCGAGGGTTAGAATGTAAAATACAAAAGTAGCAATAGCAAATATTTATTCTACTGTACATGAAAAGATTCCTTGAGCCATGGGAAACGTTCATCCATTTACTGTAAAACGGCAATTCCACTACTGACGTGTAGCGAGTTGTTTTCTGTCCCGAAATACTTCACCCTTACGTGGTTTCTATATATTTTTGGAGTGTCCAGTGCTGTAGTCTAGTCCCAGCTGTAACCTCTTTGTCTTATGTCCGCTTTAGTGGTCCAAGGTGTGTGCGCGCGCGTGTGTGTGTGTGTGTGCTCGTGTCTATGTGCTGGCGTTTACAGGAGTGTGTGTGTTCATGTGCTCTGACTAACTGAATTACTGGCATGGTACTCTGAACGTTTAAGGCCCACGTCTGAATAAATAACTGCTCTGTGTTTGCGCTTCTTCGTCCCGGTTATTGGAGGAGGGGCACATTTGTTTTGTTCACCTTAGCTGTTAGATATGGTTTGATTACATTTATGTTTGATACTTTCATGCAATTTTTTTTTTTTTTTTCTGATTCTTAGTGTAGCGCTTTGTGGGTCCAGCCTAGATGACCGTCACCTCCACAGAAACAGTGGCGACTCAGTTCTCTGAAATCTGTTTTGCTGGAGACATCACGCGACATGTGATGCTACTTGCTATTGAATGTTTTAGCCATTTTCATGGTGGACGAATTTTATATTTATGCAGTTGTACTTTTT